GAATAGTACCAAGATTAACTTTTTATTGTAAAAATGTAATTTTTTATTAAAATAAACCATACCAAGAACTTTTCGTTAAAGTACTTTTTAAATTAATCTGCATAATAATTCTTCCTCTTTAGTCGCTAAATAAGATGGAAATAATGATGATCAAGTGAATTGACCAAAATTAAACAATTAAATGGAAATAATGGTGTTTAAGATGAAATCTTCCTCCAAAATATCGTAACCAATCATAAGAAGATTATTAGAGCTGCAGACATACTCAACGTGCCGCATTCTTAGCTTAAGATGCCTCAAAACAAAGGATCAAGATCCTCTCCTTATCCTTAAAAAATGAGGCTGCTGAGCAGACAATAATGATCGTTTAAATTTGATCTAATGATTACAATTATTATAATTTTTAGAAGGTCTCCTGTTTTTAACCGTTGAATCAAATTTTTACGGTCACGATTGCCTGCTCAGTAACCTCAGTTTTTAAGGGTCAGGAGAGGATCGTGATCCCGAAACAAGGCCATCTAATTTAGTGCAATTAATTAGAACAATTATGAAGTATAATAATAATAATACATGCTTAATTTGTAACAAAATGTAATCGTGTTTTTGGACTGCTTCATGATTCATTAGGGTTAATTCTGAATATGTAACCAAAATCAGAAACCTTTTTTGGTTGCTTCTCGCAAAAGATAACGTCTATGGTATGCGGTCTTACATTTACTTAGAAAATAAGTTTTCACTACTCGAGTTTGTGATTTTTTTTTTATAACAAAACAAACAACCTTTGCGTTGAAACTGGAAACCCAAAATATAATCCAGGTTGTTAATTAACTAGTGTGTGTGTGTGTGTATATATACATATATATAATGTAATCCATTACTCATGCCACTATTATATTTAATCAACATTATATACTTTTATTACCTTGTTTGAAGGTTCTCCACCGTTGGTGTCCATTTCATTAGTTCTCCAATCACTAGAAGGAATCTTATAGCTAGGTTTAGCACATGTAACGTATGCATATATAGGGGGATCATATCGTTGAGAGATTATTAAGCACTAACTCATCATATCTTTGAAGATCTTAAAAGTCCAAAACCAACTCAACAAAAAGCATGAATTGTGTCACTTTTATTTGGCCCGACATAGAGTTAAGGTGTCACTTAAGCATAGGTGCTATTTATGCTCCTCCATGACAAGTTCTTTTCTTATGGACAAACTTTTGTATTTGGACAGCTATATCACCTAATGTTACTAATCATGTACAGATGTACATTGGAGATAAGCTGGTTTCAAGATTATTTGGAATCTCAGAAATATATACGTAAAGGTTTTCTGATAATTATTTGAATGTTTGGTACTGAGTTTTTTTTGTGCTTATCAAATGGTTGATGTAATGTCTTTTAGGTATATCTTAACATGTTGTGTCGACACCACTTGACAGATTCTCTCAATATCACTCATTAAATTGTTTTGGCATATGTCGATATTTGTTGGTATGTGCGCAACATGATTTGATTGACGACAATAAACTCACTAAGTGATCGACAAAAAGCCTCAGTGGAAAAACTGATTTTTTATTTATTTTTTGCACACTTCACATTCTGTTTCTATCTAAAAACTTATATTTTAACATAGGAACCCTAAAAGGTTCGAATCCTAAATCCATCACTTTTACAAATATATGTGTCATGATATGAAAATGAAACTAAAAGCATTCATTGGCACCCCAGATGCTAAGAGTAATGTGAAACTATGGTGACGAACAGAGATATAAGCCTAGAAGGACGTGAGAGTGGAGGGGATTTGTGAGATTAACGCAAGGGAGTTCAGGGTTTAAGAGGATATTATTAATACGTCATGTACCTATAACATAATACTAATAAATACATATGCTATACACACGAATGAATTGATCAAAACCCCCTTTACGATATGACAGTTACACTAAAAAAGTTATGGCTTTTAAGATACTAAAATGGGAGACCAAATCTAGGATGGATTCCTCACCTAGCCCTAATATTATACACATTAGTCACATTATGTGGGGTTTTGGTTCTAAAGTGAAAAAGCAAACCATTGCTCTCCAAAGATTAACCACCTGAAGATTATAAAAAGATTGGGGATATTGCTACTTAATGGAGGAAATGGGCCTTTAGTTTATCTTTTCCATTGATTTTATCCCATGTTGTGATCAATTAGTGGGAGAGGATGACATAACTAAAAGCCATTGTTTGTGGCATCAAAAGGAATTTCAATGGATGATGGGATTATGTTTTCCACCACTAAACTATTCTTAGCTGCCTTTTGCAACTTTATCTTGTTCATCATTTATTTTATGGGCCACCAGGTCCTGTACATTATTATGCACTAACTAAGCATGGATTTTAATTGTGTTCTGAGGAATTTCTTAGGTCAATTTCGACATAATTTTGGTGTTGATTTTGTTAATATAAAAGTTAAAACATCTAATAGGAAGGGATCAATTAGGAGTCCAAATCCTCTTTGTGAGGATTTTGAGAATCCCTAAATCGTGTTCATTTATCGTACAGATAAAAAATTATTTTAAATATTTTTATTTAAAAATAAACATATACAGTACTTGACAAAAATTGATCACACGATATACGATAAAGGTCGTACCCAGTGCACAAGGCTCCCGCTTTACGCAGGGTCTGGGAGAGGTGAATGTAATTCATCACACGATATACGATGAACAAATATAATTCACGAATCCCTAGAATTCTCACCAAAATGGATCCAGTTGAGAACAATTAGCTGAGGCAACTGGAGATTCTTGGTAGATATGGGGTTCTTAGGATTGCTCCGATTTCCATCTGACACCTGGGCACCTGGTTTTGATTTTTAGACCAAAACCGACAGGGAGGACAAAAACTTAACTGGTGTTGTTATTGCGTGTGTCTGTTTGTTTGATTTTGTTTAGAGTATAGATTCCACGTTGAAGAAAAGAGAGAATTTGCATGAATTTATATGTAATTAAGTTATTTTTCATATAATCAATTAGTTTTATAGTGTAATCATAATTTTCTTTGTTATATTAGAGCAGATTATACCATATTGTGAAGCTCAATGACCACATGTACTCCACGTCATTCGATTTGTGTTCTCCACGTGTTAGATTTGAAAGTTTGCACCTTGTGAGCGGGCATGTTGAGAGTATGACACACATCGGGGAAAGGAGGGACCTTGTATTTATAAGTAATGTGATTACTTCCCATATTGCTAATTGATTTTATGATGAAGATTCAACTTTCTTCAGATTTGCTATAGTTTGGTTCCTAGTTCTTATCGTGTGAGTTGCTTTAATCAAGCAGCACCCAAAAGGGAAGATGAAAATCCTTTTGTCCATTGATATTCTTTAATTCATTTAATCCAATTACGAGAGATGTGTGAAAGGTAAAAATGAATGTAAGGATAGCACCTCCCTATATTTCATGTTAGGAGCCAAGCAATGTTCTTCTGCAAAAAAGGGCCTCAGCGAGCTTCTAAGTTTAGTGGTGAAATCCTCTCTACTTTGTAGTGTCCCAAGTCCCCAAACGCATTTGAAATCAGAAGGGCCTTCGTGGGCTACAAAGGTAGAGGCCTACTTTCTGGTTATGGTTTGGTGAGAAAGGGATGAGCTCATTGGGTGAGCTAATTAGTTGGAGCACCCTTTACAAAAGCCCATTAAGGCCCAATGTCGGATTTTTTTTTTCTTTTTTTGGTATACAATTCAACGGAAAATTTTTTAGTGTGCCGGATGTGACATTATTAAATTTCCCCGCCCGTTAAAGAGCGGGCCGGTCAACAACATTGTTGTTTTACCTTGTACATGATATAGTAATAAATTAATTTATATGTTATCATATAAGTGAGTTGATAACATCATGTGACGACAAAACGACATCCGTCACGAAAAGTTTCTCAAATTTCAAACATAAAACGCCAAGTTGAGCCGAAAGCATAGGTATCCAAACAAATAAAACTTTAACCCATACAGAAAATTCCATTGAAAGAATAACCATCACTTCCCAAAACCAGGCGCATCACGAACAGATAACGATCATGTCAAGCAAATTGACGTGCATGAACAACAAGAAATCAGTCTTATCCGATTTAAAAAGAAGAAAAAGCAGAAAGTCAATGCGCGCTACTTTCAAAAGTTTCAAACCTACCAATCATATCGCACGGCTATTCTACTCCACATGCCAAGACACCATTGGCCGTAATCGTTATTGACACTCAAAAATAGTCATCTTTAAAACCTTCTCTTGCTCTTTTTTATTGGAGCGTCGATAACAACTCCCCTAACATCAAATCGGAGGAAGCCATAAGCAAGTGAAACCATAGCACACTCCTCGTTTTTCTAGCCTTTGGGATCACGAACCAAAGACGAACCAAGGGACAAAAGAAAAAGGGAAGAGTGCAGAAGTACACTCTCAAACAACAGATTAACACATGAATGAACAACAGATTAACACATGAATGGAAACATCTACTGCAACACAAATCCGCCAAAATTATTCTAACTACGATGAGAACATTGCCGAACAACAGTAAATTTCAAAAGACACACCTAAATGTGGAAGCAACAGTACCAGAAGAGGGAAGATGCACATACCTTACTTCCTAATGTAGTAACTTTTGTTTTGCAAATAACGGGAAAATGTTGCGTACGTAATACAGTTTTGCAAATTTATTACCATAAACGTTTATGAAGATTAGATAAGGTCGTACCCAGTGCACAAGGTTCCCGCTTTACGCAGGGTCTGGGAGAGGTGAATGTCGGCTAGCCTTACCCCCATTTATGAAGAGGCTGCTCCCAAGTCTCAAACCCGAGACCTACCGCTCATGGGCGAAGGCACTTGCCATCGCACCAAGTGCGACCTCTGTTTATGAAGATTAGATAGGAATCCAATAATTCAGAGGAAAGTCAAAAGTTCGATACATATATAATCCATCACAATTTCATCAAGTAATGCAATCAGAACATAAGCCAGCATCAAAGATAACAACCTTCATAATTTATTTCCTCTTGTGAAGACAACACAAATACAATCAAGAAGGCGAAACCCGTAAGACTAGTTGTGTGTATTTTAAAAAGCTTCAGCAGGCACTACAGACAACCTACCGATGTGTTGGTACTTCAAATTATTGAACCTGTTCCTATCCTACACGATGCCAAGGTTTAAAATTTCTCATGTTACTAAAAATGGGGGAAGACAAATTCCATCCGAGGAAATCAATATAAGCTGGAAAAAGGGAAAGTAAAAAAGAAAAAAAGAAAAAAGTTTACTCAAGATCTCATTCCCAGAAAACATTCAATTGAATCTTTGAGTAAAATTTAAAATTCTTCCCCATTGTCCCCCACCCGAAAGGGATTTAACAATCAAAAAGAAAAGGGGGAGTTACCAATTAGCAAGACTCCTGTGTCGATGGACAATCCAATCTTATACATGTGTACCTTCAGCATCCCATCACTGCGCAATTATAGACAAAGTTACCCGATTGCTTCCTCGCAAGCAAGTTCCATTGTGGAGGACCTTCACCCGGAACCCATGCATTGATCTCTATGAATCCTTCACCCAGAGCCCTAGGGCCGCCAATAACAATAAGCTGGTCTCCACAAGCCCTGAATGCAAGACCCCAACCATTCATTGAGGCTGCCCGCTCGGGCAATCTCCCCACCGTCAGCCACACTCTTCTCTCCTTGTCGTATTTCCTCACCTCCATGTCAGCATAGTCAGCAGCATACAATTCATTATTTACCACTGCAACCAGAGGTGGTGCCTCACCAGCAGGCACATCAGTCTCTCTGGCTGCACCACTCCGTCCAGGAGACATGTTAGGTATTTCTGTCCATGTTCTTGCCGTTAAATCATATTCTTCGCCACATGTAAGAACCTTCAAATCACTTCCCCCAATCCCACCAATAACATAAAATTTATCGTCCATAAAAACCCCAGAACACATCTTCCGGGGCTTATTCATGCTCGGGAGCATCTCCCAAGTCTGAGTCTCAGAATTATATAACTCCGCGGAGCTGAGTATATTTCCCTGCGAATCACAACCACCTGCCAAAATTGCAATCTCCTTGAGGCTGGCAGACCCAAACAAGCATCTCGGGGCATTCATCCTCATTCCAGAAGACCACGAGTTTGTCAAAATACTATACCTAAAGATTACATGGGAAGTCACCTCCTTCCCAAATACAAGAAGCTCGGTTCCCACGGCGCAAGATTCCTTGTCCGAACACATGAAACATTCATTGGAAGTCATCCTTGGCAAGTGCATCCACCTGCCGCGATTGGGATCAAAAGCCTCCCATTCAAGTAGGTGGCAAGAGAAATAAATCCAGTGCTCAATGACATCATTCTGCCTCCTCAGTTTATAGAGCTCCCCGCTCCTAACTAACGAGCGGAAGCTCTGGTTTACAAAGGCAATGGAACCATAATCAGACCTCGAGCAGCGAATGAGGCAGCTGATCAAGTTGTCCCTACCAATCCTATTTATATGCTTATCCGAATCTGAAGAAGACCCAGAATGCTGTTGATCCTCCGATTGCTCACACGATGACTGATTCACCTCCGTCTCCACCATGTCACAACAATCCAATAGCTTACACAACTTCCTCTCTCGATGCTCTTCGTCGTCATCACCGCCATCAAACCCCAATGGGCGCTTGCTGTTGGAAATATCGTCGAGCCGGCGGTAAGTCATGTATGGCCACTCGTTTTCTGGCTGGCAAGAGCTCGGAAACACCCTCGAAAGCAAGCAGGACCGACCCTCCAACATTTCTCCGGGAAACAATCAATGGCAGGCCACCAAATTCAGACCCAAATCCTATCCAAAAGCCTCTTATCTCTGGGTAAAAAAAATTGAAAAATTCCACAGATAAATTTTCCAAAAATCCAATCCCCCAAGTCCCTCAGAAAGTTCAGTCAAAATAAAAGATTCAAACTAATCAGAATTCAATCAAAAGAAAAAAAAAATGTCCAGTTTGTCTGTCAAAAATAGTATAAAAACCAAATCTTTGCATGAATCGGATGAAGAAAGTCCAACCTTTTCAGCACTATCTGTCAAACTTTCAGCCTTCCAACTCCATCATCCAACGATCCAGATGGGTTTTCTCCAAAAACCAATCTCTCAATTATCCTTTTCTTTCCTTTCAATATGTGAGAAAGTCAAATCAAAACCAAGAGTTTCACAGAAATTAATACCCAAAAAAATGAAAATTCTTGTTTGTCAGAAAAGAAAATTGGGTCGATGTTGGAACATTAAAATCTGTAAACCCAGCGAATCAAACGAGCAAAAAAAGCTTAATTTATAAGTTCTCATTAACCCCCAAAACAATAACACAAAGTTAAATTAGATCTGTTTAGAATTGGCTATTCACAAATAAACCTTTTTAATCCAGCAATTTCCTCACATAAAAAAGCAAATTAAATTGATTAAAAACGAGAGATTAAAGAAATGCGAGGGACTTACGGATTGGATAAGAAGAAAAAGGACCTGGTTGGAATTTTCAAAATTTCTCCCTCTCTCTCTCTCTCTCTCTTTCTCTCTCTAACTGTAACTCCAAACTCTCTGTTCCTTTTCTTCGCAGCTCTCTCTCTCTCTCTCTCTCTCTTCCCCAATTGTCCTTCCTTTGGATTCTCTCTGCAAATCACAGAAAGCTCTGAGCTTCTTCGGCTTTGGAGCAAAATTCTTCAGCGAGCCCCCCTATCCCTCTTAAACCATTCCATTTAAATTTATAAATTTTAATTTCTTGGTTTTTTGGCTTTTAATATTTCGACGTTATTTTTTAAGATCATAAAACAGTATTATTTAATTAAGTTATTATTTAAGTCGGAAGCACTACGGAAGTCGCTTTTGTGTTAACATCTCTAGTTGAGTGGAGGTGGGTCCCCCAAAAAGCCTGGCAAACAGAGGTTCTAGCCGTAGTTGCCGTTATAATTACCGGGAACCGGTTGGCGCCTCCATACGTGTTGACCGGGGAGACTGGCGATGGCAACTGTCCCTCTCTGGCGTCGACGTGCTGGCTGGACACGACTCCGTAATCTTACGTCATTTGCTGCCCGTGAAAGATCCGATTTCTCGTCTGTCGTTTTGGTCAATTTATCGGAACTTTCCGGATGGTTTCGGCCTCTCCCATTGGAGGGTGGGATACTCTGCGATTGAACTTCTTACACTCGTTTTGCTTTTTTGGTGGTTAACCTTTTTTCTTTTTTTTTTTCTTTCTCTCTTGTGTGGTGAAATCATAAACAAAAGGACCTTCGTTCATAACCCTATTTGACTGGTCAAATCCACCGTTAATTATATTGTTAATATCATTATTATTACTTGGAAACTTTAATATCAATTTGTATGCTCAACTTAGTATTGTGGTTTTTACTTGTAAGTGAGAGTTCTTATATTCGATTCTGGCCACAGTCGAATTTGAACTACATTATTATGACTGGCTCACTTCCCCACCGATGTAACGTAAATGATATCGTTTGTTCCAAAAAAAAGATATCAATGTTATGAGATATTCGACCCCGATGTTAATTAAAAATTATATTTTTTCCCTAATTTTCTGCCAATAATTCTCAATTAAGTTCGTATTTTCTTCTCAGGTTTTCAAAAAATTTGATTAGAAATAGCCAATTATTGATGTGAAAAGTGAATTGTTTGTTTCATTTGATGCAATTTGTTGTTGAATAAGAAAATTGGGTTTATAGGGGGCGTGTCATTTTTTTGCGTTATATATAAATTAGGTACGCTCGCTAAATTTTAGATTGAATTATATGAAAAGAATGAACGTTTTAACATTAATGTACAATGAAATATGATATAAGCGGTTGCACTCTGTAGGGATAAAATGTTATATTTACTCGTCTATGTAAGATATAAACTGAGGTAGATTGATCAGACACACGTGTTTACCACTAAGTAATTCATAAACTTATGAACATTCATTAGTACACAAATCTGCAACATGCACTTGAACAACTTGCCACACTCATTAATAGTGACATATTTATGTTGAAACGACTGCTTTTATCATACAAAATTAAGATCAACTTGACTAATTTATATGCCAGATCATTAATTATTCGTTGAGTATGAAAGATGGGAGCCATGTTGAAAATTTGTTAAGGATTCAATTTGTTGGGCTTCGACACCAACCAAACAAATAGGTAAACTTCATCTTACTTTTTGTTCAACCAAATCGTTAACATGATGAAAAGGTGTCACAACTCCAAAATGTTTCAATCAATTATTCTTCTTTTTACTTTGAAGTTTGTCTTTGGACATTAGCACTTTAAAATTACGTGTCGACATGCTCGAATTAGAAAAAAATCCATTTCGTGCGGGGGAGAGCCGTGTCAAATTAATCACATTTCATCAACTTTTACCATGCCTACATTCTCAATGATCTCATTTCCAATTTGTAATTATCAACTTACAATCTATATAAATTAGGACTTAGGACTTGGGAGCAATAGGTGTCGCATTTTCCCACATGTACGCTATAACCATGAAGTTGTGGAAATGGATCCCTTTATCCTAATCCACCAAATAAAGAAATCTGTGCCATTGAAATTTGATCCAACGGCTACAAATAAGGGCCCACTTTAAAAGTTATAATAACTTCAGCCGTTTGATCGAATTTCAATAACACAGATTCTTGATTTGGTGGATTAGGAAAAGGGGATCCGGATCCCTTTCCTTAGTCATAATCATACGAACCTGAGAAATAAGGAGACTTTCTTAAAAGTGAGACTCTTCATGGATTATCTAACATCGAATATTTTTTATGCTATATTTTATAATGTTGACATAAACATTAACGTTAAATTTTAAGGTAACAGAGAGTTAATCCATGTAGAGTATTCTTAACATTTCTAAGAACTTGGTACCTTCCATTTTTTTTAAATTTATTATTCTCTTTTAACTCCTTTTTTTTCTGTCCTTTAGTACTATGGTCTAGTGGTATTCATTTTCACTTGTAAGTGAGAGGTTTTAAGTTTGATTGTCGCCAAATGCGAATTTGACCTATATTATTGCTAACTCATTGTGATGTTTAATCTACTCTATCATCCTCTTATTGTAAATAAATAATATCATTTCTTTAAACAAAAAAAATCCTGCAAATAGAAAGTAAAACTGAAACTAATTTACCTTTTGGTGGAAAATTCCAAGTCGGCAAAAGCTTCAGTCAAATCAAATAAAATTTCAACCTCCATGAAAATACCCTTTGCCCCTTTGGATATGATAAGGTCCATAAGTAATAGGATAACATAATCGAAATAAAATAAATAGTAAATAATAAAATGGTGCGAGAGGGGTCAGGGGCTGAAGTGTCAATTTAAGTAGACGGCTTTTCCCATTTGACCCTGTCTAATAAAAACCAAAATTTATTTGAATTAATTTAGATTATCTTGTTCTGATATTGCGAGGCGGATAAAAATAGACGGATTGGACGTGTCATTATTTGATTACTAACAAACACACACAAGCTACACAACAAAATACAGGTAGAAATCCATTCCTCACCAGATATAGCACATCAATCAAATCTAATCATCGTCTTTAGAACGAATTTCAAAATCGTATTCTATACGATATATTCTGAATTCAATTTATAGCGTTAATGATTCACGCGATAAGGTGAACTGCCATATCAAAACCGCAAGCTAATCTTATTTAAAATAAAAAAAAACGAATCAAAGAAAATTCAAATTTTAATTGACACGAATACGAATATTATATAGTATGCATGTTTATTATAACTTCTACACGCATACTATTAACTACCAAACAAAAAACAAGTAGACTCTACCTTTGGCTAGTTATAACCAAGTGTTTAAAATGCTATTTAATTTCATATTCATCAAAAGAAAGATGTTGTATCATTATTTATTTTGGAGAATCAACAATAAAAACTTTAATGCAAATTAAAATGTTTAGAAAAAAAACTTCAGCGGCAAAACATTGTTCCATATATAAACCAGCTTTGCTCCATAATTTTTATCTCCACCAAGTTACAAGTTAAAGGGGTATGCAGCTTCGATACGGAATTTTCTTTCGTTTATAAATAACGATGTAATTTGGTTGTGCACTCAAAGTATATTACGAAATATTTTTTAATATAATTTTGTTCGTCAGAAGTAAACATTTTTCTATCAAGTACTCCTGAAACACACACTCGTGCACAGTACCTTTGCTTGTGTATTCAAACTCGAAACGCACAGATAAGAACCCATCACACTGTTTATTAGAATATTAAACTATATGCAATTTTATTATTAATTATTACTAACTTTAGTAAATCACTCGCAGTCCGTAATAAAGTAAAGAATATTTCCATAGATTTGGCGCGCTTCTATTGAGGGTGGACACTGATATAGAAATATGTGCCACGTGTCGGCGCTGCACGTGGGTGGCTCCTAGTGGGCGGTAAGAAATTGTCCAAAAAGCAATGGCTTTTTTTTTTGTTTGTTTAACTTTAACGTTAATTGGCCAATTAAATTACTCTGTAATTATACGGCGGTCTACCGTCTACTGTGCTTCCCTATTATATCGGCCAATCCAAAATATCTCATACTAAACATGTGGAAGAATGTCCGTCTGTATCGGCTTTTTGCTTTTCACACGATTTTTTAAACCACGAAACTATGAATTTTTTTTTTTAATTTGAATAAGAATTTATTGATGCGTAAGAAACCATGACTAAGGCGTACTTACCACCTAAAATCTTTGAGTCTGATTTTGCTCTACTCCTAATTCAAGGTGACTGTAACCATTGGTGAATCTCACGGGTTCCAATGTTAAAGGTTCAAGCAGTGTTTAAAATTTCTTCGATACGGTTGATATTTTTATAAAAATATCTAAAAAATCAGATAAAGACTAAAACATCAGAGAAAAATATGAAGATAGGGGGTTAAGTCTAAACTTCACCTTATATCAGAGAAACTCTGATATTTCATCCAAACGAATGTTTGACAATCCCTAAAGTTTCATTTTAAATTTTCATCGTTCCATTGAAATCAACCGATATCGATGTCGATATTCAACATATCCGTCGATATTTTCACAAATTTGCATATTGATATTATCCACGGCTTTTTAACCAAAATGATCCCTGTGATTTTTATAACTCATCACTTTGGTCCTGAGATTTGAAATCAATTTCACTGGTCCCTGAGTTTGTCCATCATCAATCATTTTGGTTATTTCATGAAAAATTATATTAAATAAGGACCAAAATAACAAAAACACCCTCAATTTAATGAACAATAGATCAAATGTTTTGACAAAAATTAAGAGTATTTTTATCATTTTAACCTTATTTAATGAAGATTTTTCATGGAACAATCAAAATGATTGATGGTGGACAAACTCAGGGACTACTTCTATTGATTTCAAATCTCAATCGAGAGAATTTGTTAAGTGTTGTCGAAGCAACCTATCAAGATATAACTATCGGGCATTACATCAAATATTTGGTGAGCACAAAAAAGACTCATATGAAACATCCATAGAGTTCTCAAAAAGGACTTGTACCACCTTGGTCATAATGTACATCCACCGCTTGACCATCAACCGTGTCTTTCGGAATGGTGTGAGTGTCTATGGAAAGGGATCATCTCCGGATCCCTTCCTCCTAATCCACCAAATTAGGGGATCCGTGCCGTTGAAATTTTATCCAACGACTGAAGTTATTATAACTTTTAAAGTGGGCCCCTGTTTGTAACTGTTTGTTCAAATTTTAACGGCACAAATTCTCTAATTTGGTGGAT